CTTAGTCATTTATCAACTCTGGGAGAGGAAGTGCCCACAATCAAAATGATCCCAATGGTTTTCCTTGCAGGATTTTCCAGGTCAATAAATTTCTCAGCCACAGACTTTGCTGACAAAATCCTAACCTACATACCCCCCCTGTACATTGTATGTACCGTACATGTACATGAGTGCCTGTACATACATGTACTGTACATTGTGTACACTCATCATTATAGACAGGTATACATGTGTGTACATGTATACATTTGAACTTTTGCAACACCCCCCCCCCCCCATATCATAGGTACATGTACGGTACATGCACTCTTGAGAAACATTCCAGAGAGAAATTTTCCGCAAAAGATGGATGTTGATGTTTTACAGGAAATCACGTAAATGCGTAATCTGCCGGTTCAATGCACATAGGCATCAAATGCACAGGCATTAAATGAGAATTTCTTGAGTGCAGCGCTTCATTGATTATGACAGCTGATGATGTGATTGAGCCTAGATTTAATTACACTTGAGATCAGCCAGGTTGGTGGGGGGGGGGGGGGGGGGGGGAGACACGACGTTCTAATGTCAGCTCCAGACTCCGAAATAGTGGTAGATGGAAGATTGGCAAGAATTTAAGGGGCTGTGTGATCCGGGAGGAATTTATGTGGTAAATTTGGAATCCGACAAAGTGCAGGATATTGCTGAATCCGGGAAGATTCATCGAAAAAGCGCGAAGGGTAAGGGCGTCAATTGATCACTTCTCAAAATTGGGGGGGGGGGGGGGTGGGACATACCAGTACCTTGAACAGAACTAATGTGAGCGCGAAACGAAGCCCTTAAATGGCGTGGGGTTCGGAGCCCGCTTAAAGGCCCAATTTTTTTGGGATTGTAGACTCTCTGTGGTGCGATCTGAGGCAATTTCTGACCCCTTTAACCAATCTATTAATTGCGGGAAAGATCATCATTTAAACATCATTTTCGAGTTTGGAGTCATTAAATCAGCTATTCTGAGCTGTAGAATCAAATGTAGGCTACAAGTTTTATTCGAGGACAAAAGAAGTGGGGGGGGGGGACACAAACGATATGACATCCCCCACTTTAAAAAGTGGGGGGCCCCCTTGTCCCCTACTGATTGATGCCCATGGCCAAGGGTATAGAAGTCACGTGTCTCCAAAATATTAAAAACCAAATAAATTGAAACTTCAGGTGTCTTTTGGTATTCTTGTCTCTTTTCAATTTTATTTTCCATCTGAGTACAAGCAGCAAAAGTGGGCCAATAAGATACCGGTAGTTCGGAGCAATTGTAATCAAATACAACTCTTGTGACCTGATTTTCGTAATCTCGTACTCTCGTGACCTGATTTTTTTTGCTACCCTGTAATTCTTCACGAGTTCTATGAATCTGTGTACAGTACAGGTACTATGCTATAGATGTTTGACCTTTCAAATAATAGTTGAAACTGTTCATTGTACAAACATTCCGAGTTTGTAACCACCGATGCAGCACATTTATCATTCAATAGATTGTCCCCCTGTCTATCTCCCAATTTCTCCTGCCCAATTATTCCCGGATATCACTCAAACAATCCCCATATTTTATATCACAGCTCGCTCAAATATCATACAGGATCTGTCATATCGTTATTACCGCCCGGTGCATGACAGATGTCGGAGATATGAAGCATTGGAATGTCAAGCATGTGACAGACTTGAGCCCGGTCCACTTGTGATGTGGGTATCAGATGTGCATTATCCCGTTCAGGGTATGAGTTGGGGTCTGCCAAAAAATTCTGGTTGCAGTTGTCAAAACAGATGCACTGGTTCCCACAAACAGCTGTGAAAGTTGTGCAATGATGACTGTCATACATGTACAATATGTACGGTAGTAGAGCTGTTCCCATAGCACAATGTACATTTTTTACAAAGCTTGGAAAAAACTACAAGTACAACTACAAATTCTATTACAAATTCTACCCCGAAAGACTTTTTTTTTTTCTTCTGAATATTATGGGGTATTTTTTTTTATCATACCAGGTCAGTAGATTTGGCTGATTAAGTCAAAGTCTCAAATTTAAAACAAAATTGTTAAAGAGGTTGTGGAATGCTCGAAAACATTTCCGTCATTTTTTGGGTATATGTAGCCTAAGGTGTGATGAAATAAAAACGACTATTATTTCTGTCATGAAATGAGTACAAAGGGTACTTTTGAGAACTATTTTTCAGGTCCTGTTTTGACCCGAACGTGCACATTGTGTAAAAGTCGTCGTTGCGAGCAGCAAACAAAACACAGTAAATCGTGACGTAATAAACAGGACTCGTTTATGCTACTCTGCATCGGGAGTCCTGTTTATTACGTCACGATTTACTGTGTTTTGTTTGCTGCCCGCAACGACGACTTTTACACAAATTGCACGTTCGGGTCGAAAACAGGCATGACAGGACTTGAAAAACAGCTCTCAAAAGTACCTTTTGTACTCATTTTATGACAGAAACAATAGTCGTTTTTATTTCATCACACCTTAGGCTACATATACCCGAAGAATGACGGAAATGTCTTCGAGCATTCCACAACCTCTTTAATCACAATGTGCAATGTTGGTGATCATCACCATTTATGTATGGAGGCCCTGAGAGAACATCAGTGTGGTGATTTTTTTTTTAATTGGGGGACGCTTCCTTGAAAATTGAGAATGAAATAGAGACATTTTTTTTTTTGAACAAAATTGAAGCATGCCGGGTTTCGCCCCTTGCCAAAAATCTGAGAAAATGTATGGATCCAAGAATGATTAAATGTTTGGACTTTTGGAACATGCACAACTCTATTTGGCTTTCAAAACTCTTGCGTCCGTCCTGCAGATGAAGACATCTTATCTATAAGCCAACTAAATTAGGAATGAACCAGGCACCAACTACATGTAAATAATGTATGAACCATGCCAAGTTTGTCTACATAGTACATGACATGATGCACATTGTGCATACAGAACGTGCATAAAAATTGCACAGTGTCAACGCCTGGATGTGACTCACTCTACTGGGAACAGTGTGTCTAATTTTGGATCACATTACACTTTCCATGTACAAGCCAAGTTGGAAGTAAGCATGAACTGTATGGTACAAATGTCAATACACTGTGGGCCCAAGACAAAGTTTAGGCTGTTTAGTACATTGTATGTGTACTTGTTCACTCTAGACATGATTTGTCAATACGCGTAGGTGGGGTCATTCTATTTTGTCTGCTGAATTTCCAATCCATAATGACTGAATAAACTAAGGGTTGAAACGGAAATGTCAATCATTGTGCTTGTTTTTATACCATTGTGCACATGTACGACCCCCTACAAGTTCGTGTAACACCTGAATAACTTCACACTTTACAAAGTACAACGAAACAAAAAAATTTGACTTCTTGGTACTTTTGACACAAGATGTTTCCAACCGCAACGTGCCGAGTTACTATGCATCAACCATGGAAACAGGTCTCAGCTGTTCCAGTGAAAAGTTTAATCTGGGGTGAAGGCTGAGGTGACGTGATGTGCTTGTACAGTATGTGATTGTCAAACACAAATATTGGAAGTTGGTGGGTGGCATGTTGTGAGAGTGCTCTAAAGACATTTTCCTAATCTTAACCCTCCTAGATCCTTCAAAATCTACCAGGTTTTGTCGGCTTTTGCAGGACTGAGGAAGGTAGAGCCCAACACTGTCACTTGACATGGGACTTGATGCCCCTTAAAACTTGGTAGGTACAAAGAGCCTGCCATTGGGTACCTGCATGTAGCACTTGGAGGATTGTGTAGGATTGAGGAAGGTACGGTCTACAGAGCCCAACAACTATTAATTTACATGGGGCTTAATGCCCCTTCAAACTTGGTAGGTGCATGTACATGTACAAAGAGGGCATCACTGGGTTCCTGCACAGTGAAGGATTTTGTAGGATTGAGGAAGGTAGAACCCAGCCACTATGATGCCTTTTGAAACTTGGTAGGTACAAAGAATGTGTCATTGGGTTCCTGTACAGTGAAGGATTTTGTAGGATTCAGGAAGGTAGAGCCCAGCCACTATGATGCCCCTTGAAACTTGGTAGGTACAAAGAGTTTTGAAGGGTTCAGGGAAGATCATTGCAAAAATATCCAAGTTCAACTCGCACTGAACCCTGATTTCATTTTGAAGGAGGCCTACTAAATGTTTCCTTTACATTACCAGAAAATAACACAGCTGTTTTGAAGACTACAAAATTATGTACATGTACTGCAACACAGCTGTTTTGAAGACTACAAAATTATGTACATGTACTGCATTACTGAAGATTTATTGAAGGATACCACATGTTCATGTGCAATTTCTACAGGAATGCTCCACGATTACATGTTGTATCAAGTTCAGTTTAATAGAGGACACGGCCCAGCTGCATTGGGTAGTAAATATTTTGTCTTCCGTTGAAGACTGTTGTCAGTGTTGGCTGGAACTGGCAGAGTAGGACTGCTGAAAACATTCTTCGAATTCAGTGTTAATGTTTTACCACCACACGTTCAAACTCATGTCAATGTTTTATTAACTGAAACATTCTGTGAGGCATGCCCCCAGAGCTGGTAGTCCGAGGATCAGACATTCACGTGGGTTGAACCACGGTTGAACGTCTGATATATCGTAGCATGTAAATTTTATGCGACCCCGCGCGCCAGCCAATCGAAGTGGTCAGTAACTGTGTCATTTTTTCAATCAGAATTGTGGACTAAGCTATGGATTGGTCAATTTGGATGCCGTGTTTTTGTAATACAACAACGGGTTACGGAAGACCCGATAGAAGGAGCCTGCTGAAGGCTCAGAATCTCGAGGTCAAGACGCAGTCTTGTTTTGCACAATTAATCGCCCAAACTGCTCGCATATCATAGACCCTTGCTGTGCAAGGGGATATTCCACAGACCACAGAGCTGACACAAGGGCTCAAAATATCAACTGGGTCCAAAATATCACAGGCCCTGATTGTTTTATCTCCATACCTTCTCAAAATTCCCACTCACCTCAATTTCGAATATCTCCTCCGTGTCGTCAAGGAAACCGACCAGGCACCGCATCTTGCGTTCCTGCTTCTCCCGAGCGATCTCATTGGCTCGGACGTTGTAGGAGCCGCTGGACGCTCGCAGCCGCCGGGACATGGCCGCTTCCCTGGTAGCCGTCACGCCGTCGGTGTACGATCACACAGTTTGAGACATCTTATATCACGATGGAGGTTTACAAATCTACATCGGGCGACACTGTGTAGAGAGAAAGAGAGAAGTCAGGATGAAAAAATTATGATTGGAGATTAACACATGAATGAATCATGAATTCAGTAATTTCTCCGTCTAAAGGCATTTTTGCTAGAACTTTTTCCCTTATAAATCCTAAAAAATCCTACACAGGTCAGAAGCATAAATAACCGAAACATTGTTGAATTGATACATTTGTTTAAAAATTGAAGAAGAATGTATACAAATACCAGTAAAAAAACTATACATGTACACGTAGGTATTTTTGTATTAGAATCATGGCATTTTTGAAGTACATGAAAAGGAATACTCATTCCCATCCAAACACTGCAATAATTGCAATGCCAGGCAAGCATGCTGAATCCTAAATGTCATGCGTTATTGATCTTAGACGCTGGCAATAAAAGCAACAACGACTGATGATGATGATGATGATGCTGCTCTAGGGCCCAAGCCCCCTTGTGTAGTTGACTGAAGAGATCTGGAGGCAAGCAGATAAGACAGACTTCTGTTTACTTAAAAGACGCTGATCTATGAACTTGGGGGTGGGGGAGGGTGATTGAGGGGGAGGGGGTACGGGATGTCCAGGGGCGAAGCTATATTGTTGGAGACAAGGTGATGATACTCTTGTTTTGGAAAAATGGCAGTAAAGTTGGATGGAGTTTTAAAAACAAGGTCGGTTGAACATAAAATTTTACAGGGCCTATTACTTGTCTTGCCTTTATCACTGTGGATTACACGACACAGACGTGTCGCAAGAGGGGGGTGTGAGGGGTACATTGATGACACACCCAAATTTGTTGTTATAAGCAAAATCATTGTACTTGTTGGAAAATAAAATCGTTGTTCTAGTCTGGAAAATCTGGGAATTGTTGGCAAAGGAAGCCACCATGAACAGCACCACTAGTGTCCGATAGTGGCCAGTCTCAACCATCCGAGCTGGACAGCGCCATCTCAGTGTCCAAAAAAAACCCCAAAAAACTATGCACCCCTCTCCAAAAAACTTAAAACAAATTTACACTGGTTCACAGTTTGGTCTGGTGATACAGTGCTGTATGTGCATTTTTAACACAGTGTACCAGTATACTGCATTTTCCTATGTTTAACATATTTTCATTACTATGATCACTAAACATAAAAGGCTTCACACATGCAAGAACACACATTGTGACTGCTTTTTTTTTTCTTCACAAGCTCCACCTTGTACAAATTTTGATAGGGAACAAATTTGTGGCCCTTGGGGCATTTTCCAGGGTAGCGCTAATGAATACATGTCAGCAATCATTTATCACATGGCATTTTACGGGGCTGAAAACAAATCTCTAGGCCTGTGAAACGCATTAACCAAAAATACACAAATGCATCCATGGTGTACACCAAGAGCACCGGATATGTACATGTACATGTACTTGGCCTACGCGAAGGTTCCTTTATACAATGTGCGTGTACATGTGGAGATCCACATTTTCCACATGTTATTCTTGTGAAATTCAATACAGTTCATAGTGAAATGAGGTTACTGTAACAGATCCAAATGAACAACACTAATGTCCATACCAGCCCTGTGTCAAAATGTGCAAATTTTGTAAACAAGAGGATGTGCCAGTCAAATGATGCCTTGAATAAAAAAAAGCTGATGATGTACACACATGTGTACACTGTGTTCTAGAATTTACTACCTTACGGAGACATGCACACAATAGGGAACAAAAGATTGTATGAGTCTCCACAAGAAAATTTCTATAGATGAATACGTCTCCACAAGAATTTCACGAAATAGATATATGGATTTTACTCAAAAACTAGGAATTTCCAATTTCAGCCCAGGAAATTAATTCTGGTTAAAATAAGAGCATTTTGAAACTTCAATTTCAAACTTGAAAACTTTACTACACGAGAACAAAGAAATGTCTCCACAAAATCTAAATTCCAGTATGGGTGTACATGTACATGTACATTGTACATCTCATGTCCAGAGTTTTGTTTGTTCACCAAACAAGTTACAAGGTTGATGAATCAACTGACCCTCAATTTAGAGGGTACTGTACAGGTCTACGTAATGTATGCTGGAACTCTGTTCTTCGTGGGGTGAGGTCACACTGGTATGTAAATGTACATTACATGTTTGATCATGGCCATGGGAACATGACCCAATGTACAATACCGTATGGACATTTATCTAATGAGTTAATTTGAACACAATCATTCAATGGCAGCAAATGTGTATACAAGGGCGTGTTCATCTATTCAAACCGTGGAAGAAAAACTAACAAAAGAGAACAATATCGTCCACGATTCCCAGCATACGTCCAAATTGGGGTCGTGTACAAAACCTATGGGAGTCTTCCTAAAAAGTTAAGAGTACAAACAAAAGAGGGACAAAAGGACGTCCACGATCGACAGTGTGAACACGGATGTGTACAAATGTAGACATTCGTTGCATGGTTTACATGTACCGGTACATGAAGTCAGAGTTTCGAACATCAAGCATCAAATATCAACCAAACTTGTACGTACATTGAATGAATATTGTACACTACCAGTATGTATACATTAAGTAAACATATTCCTGTGTGATTCTTGAACACAACATTTTGGATCGGACGAATTTTATATTAATCTTTATTTGCGACTTGGGGTGCGGGACGTGCATCATTGGCTGTTTGGATGGGGCACACATAAAAATTTGTGTAAATGGTTACAATATGTGACTCCTTGCTTCTGGAATATTCCAGAAGGTTCCTTGCAAAAAATCTTCAAGATGGAATTAATCACTTAAAGATTGATCGCAAAGTACATTTAATTCTGTATGATGAACGTGTAATTTTATCATGATAAATGCCATTCATGTATGAATGACAGCAAAATAATGAGTTTGGATTACGCCAATTTCAATCGCGACGATCGGACCCAGTCAAGCATGCACTCACAAACCCACACGACATCCACAAAAAGGGGGGGGGGGGAGGGAGAGAGAAGATCTGAAGAATCGCGGTCGCGCAACCCACTCAATTTGAGCGCATTATTACGCTGGAGTGGTTTGATGTCGGGGACAGGATTTAATGGCCGGGATGATGAGGCCTACACGGGGCTACCGGTGTGCGCACACGGTGCCCGCTTTCCAATCAATTTATCAATAATCGGATCGGGCAGTTATACGTGGAGTGCGCTACCTGTGCACTTAGTGCGACACCGGTACATGTGTGTATGTGAATGCAGGGCATGGGTGTGCAGTGCATTCACGATTTGATTTGTACTGGGATTTTCAAATGAAGGACAGGGTCTAACTCTAACCCTGCTGAATCCAACAGGATCAACTATTTTTTAACTGGATCCTGTTGGATTGAGCAGTAAATCCATTGTATCTTCCTGTTGAAATCTGTTGAATTCAGCAGGCAACTGAAAAAATTTGTAGTCAGATTCTGTTGGGTACTGGTAAATAACGCCAAGTTGGACTCTGTTGGATCCAGCAGACGACAGAAAATAAGGCACAGTTAGAATCTGTTGGATTTAGCATGCCAGTTATTTTAACGGTTCAGGTACCCAACAACTTGGCATGTTGGATTATGTGGGACAGTGCTGCTGGTTGGATTGAGCAGGAAACTCATATGAGTAACCATCGGACTCTGTTGGATTTACAAAATGTAGCAGGGTAGTCCTGGGGAACTACATGTATTAGGGGCTTACAATGTACTTTAGGTAGTTCAACCAAAATCTTGAAGGGACTGTTTTACCTTCATATGTAGCACTAAGACAATTTTTGAAAGCAATCTGCGATTTTTTTAAAGAGGTTGTGGAATGCTCGAATACTATGCAGAGTAGCATAAACGAGTCCTGTTTATTACGTCACGATTTACTGTGTTTTGTTTGCTGCCCGCAACGACGACTTTTACACAAATTGCACGTACGGGTCGAAACAGGACCTGAAAAACAGCTCTCAAAAGTACCCTTTGTACTCATTTCATGACAGAAACAATAGTCGTTTTTATTTCATCACACCTTAGGCCAAAAAAAAAGTCTCCGGTTTCTGGTATGGAGCTTGCCCGAAAAGTGGTGCGGCGACGCGTTTTTTTTTTTTTTTTACCTGATTTTTTTGCTTCAAATGTCGGCTGATGACTGCAAATGGTGCCCGCCTAAACTTAGTGCAAATATATGGGAGTCCAGAGAGGCCACATAAAGCTTATTCTCGACCATAACCCAATCTAAAAACACGTTAAAATTGTGCAGCAGCAGGATTCCAGTCAAACCAGTGAGTTTGGCGGTTTTGAGACATCATCTTTCATTGAAAAAAAAACTTTTTCATTTTGCCGACGCGCATGGCTACGGCGACGCGCGCGCATACCAGAAACCGGAGATTTTTTTTTTTTTGCCTCATTCTACACATACACAAAAAATGACGGAAATGTCTTCAAGCATTCCACAACCTCTTTAATTAACCTTAACTCCCAAGGGGGTGTGCAAAAGTGTATGAAATTGGAGGATTCAGGACTGTTAGGGATCTATGGCGAAAAAATTAAAGTCCCCTCACATGTTGCAATGCGAATAAAGGGATATCGCTGAACCACTCCCTGTCCCCCCCCCCCTTCAAAATTCAACGTATCCATGCAATTACTGATTGTAATTAAAATTTAGTATGCATATCTGTACTGCGGGACTTTTAGCCCAATCAGATACATGTAAAGCATTCATGGTCATTCATGTAATGTTCACAATGGGCATTCGTGTTCTCAGTAAAATGTTTGATAACAAAACCTTTTTTTGGCGAATGGGATGGGCAGGAAACGGAAATCCACTTGAAACTGATTTTTTGTATTAAATTTCAACTAAAAAAAAGATGAGTCAACAGGAAGAGAAGTAGGTAGTTCTATTGCCATTGTCACTACTCGAAAGTAAAAACATAAATCATTATCTTCTTTGTTTGATTTTGTTCTCTGTGGTTTTAGTTTGGTTTCATATGACACGACTTGATTCTATGCCTTTCCATGTATTGATTTATTGATTGACTC